CTGTGGTTAAAATCACCAGCGTGGCGTTTCATATGGATTCTTGAAAAATAGTGGCCATAACCAATCATTGTGGCATTTTTAGCGTTTAGTTGAAAATTTCCTAATACGTAGTGGTGAGAATAACCTTTACTGCCGCTCAAGACTATACTATTGAGAGTTCATCCAGTCAGTACTATAGTAATTTCAAACATAGTTTTTTCTCTTAATGAATGTGGGTGAGAGGGTGCCATGAGACTTACAGATAAAACGGTGAGAACTACTCGTAAAACAAGGAATTGCATTCTTGAAATCCTTCAGTATAGGTAAAATACCAAAAAGGAAACGATAGGAAACGAGATGGTATTTGGTTCAAAATGAATACGCTTATTTTTGATAGTTATTTTCTTATGATATGTTTATACAATTAAATATATCTTTTCCTCGGTGCATGCGTTATGTTGGTAGAACTAAATTTCGAATTCACATCTACAACTCCAGCCGTGAAAGCCGTGTTTACCTACAGGGTCTATAGACATACCGTCCGGTCCGGGTCCAGAGGCCGAAATCTCCGGATGTAGCACCCGTTGCTCTAGCCACAGAGCCTGAACCAGTTGAAGCTACGGTATTAGCACCCGGAACTTTCAGCCCCTACGCCCAGAACGGACGGTATGTTCATAGAGCCCGTAAGCCGGAGGTGTTTCTTCCTGTATGAGTAAGCGTTTTTAAATCCCCCGAAATACATTTACTACCACTTCGAATCATTTCTTTCATCACTCCCAAAGTTTGCACAGGCAATGAAGAGCACGTTTTAAAGCTGTAATGCCTGAAGTGGAACTTGGGATTGAAGGAGACGCGAGAAACTTTGCGCAGTGGGCGCCAGCTGGATCAGATGTCGTGTAATCAATGTATCGTGCTGTGCGCTCGGCTGGGTGCTGGCGCGACCTTTGACCTCCACTACACTCCAGACACAGACACTCAGCAGCGACGAGGACACCTCGCACTCTGGCATGTTGAGTGTCCCCGATTCGATTCTCTTCACACTTCGGCATTGCTCCCTGGGCGGCTGTCCTGTACAGCAGTGGTAAGGTGTTAATGATCGATAATCGATATTGCCCCGTTTGAAGTAGTGGTGAAGAATCGATTATTAAAGTGTTCGTTGAGGACACCCTGTTTATCGATCTTTTTTCATATAAAATGACAGATCAATCTTTCTATTGCAATGCACGCCACGCCTCTGATGTGCAGTTGCGCACAACTTTGACTTCATTCAGTTGTACCGATTTGAACTTCCGCTCAATTGAATGAAAGTTTCTTTTTGTAGGCATGATGGGAGCAAAATTATTTTTAATTTGGTTTACGCTCTGCGAACTTTAATTTTCAATTTTATTTTGAATTTTGAGTTTCACCGAAGTCTCGCCGGCAAAACTCTCATCAGACTCAACTAAACTTGTATCACAACACAGAAAGCAATGCCGCTAGTATCTATTTTTCATGAAACCTTTTTCCACTTGCTCAAAATTTTTCCCGTGTCTCTTTTCAGTAATCAGCCCGAATAATACTTAATGCAGATGTTGCATGTGATGGATTGGCGATTTGACTGTTGTTTCTTACATAAAAGTTCGCGAGAAACACGATGGTGCCACTGGTTTTCTCTGGAATCATCTCCCAAGCTCAAAAAAAGCTCTCAAAGTGAGGCCAAAATGAAGGGGATATCCCGCCCTACCCTGAGAGTCCACCTCTACATCAAAACAAACTCTCCATGCAAAGATATGGAGCAAGTACATTGACAGGGCTGCCACTTCATTTGAGGACTTCAAAACTGAAAACACGGCAACCCTGCTAATGTATTTGCTCCCTATCTTTGCATGGAGAGTTTGTTTTGATGTAGAAATGGACTTTCAGGGTAGGGCGAGATATCCCCTCCATTTTGGCCTCACTTTGAGAGCTTTTTTTGAACTTGAGAGATGATTTCAGAGAAAACCAGTGGCACCATCGTGTTTCTCGCGAACTTTTACACAAGAAACAACAGTCAAATCGCAAATCCCTCACAAATGCAACATCTCCATTGTGTCCATTTTCGCAAGTTGGCAGCGCCTCTGTCCCTTCCGAAAAATTTGTATCGAGGAAAGGCGGCCTTCTCCGATTGTTTCACATACTTTTAGAGGGACGAATCCCGGACACGAGCGTGCGAGGAGCATCAGTGCACTTTTCCTCAAACGGAAGGGAGCTTGGGGATCTCGAGGGGCGAAGGGGTGTCTGGAGACTCCCTTGCCGGAGCGATCTGCTCCGTCAGCGGGATGGCGTCGCGGCGCGGCGGGCGGGCGGCGCTCATGTTTGCTCTGCCAACACGGAGCGAGCGAGTGGACGCCCAGCGCCGCGACGCCGTCGAGTGGCGGGCCCGCGACCCCCCGTGCGGCTGCGCGACGCCCCAACGAGGGGATCCCTCCCGCTACACCTACACCTGGCGCCCTCCCTCGCGGCTCCCCACCTCCCGGCTCCGCCCGCGTTGACAGCTCTCCAATCCCTCCGACCCCGCTCGGGTGTGTTCGGTCGAGTCCGTGTGATTTTTAACCGGGGTTTTCGGGTCAGGTTCACGGGGCGAACGAACTGTACTCGAACAAAGGAGGATGCGTTTTATTTTAAAATGTGCCCAGTTGGTGGAATACCTTGGCCGTGAGTAAATCCTCAAAGAAGGGAAAATCTACCTATCCAGAGTAAAAATGGATGAACATTACCGCAACATTATTATGAAGTACATAATGTTGCGGTAATGTTCATCTATTTTTACTTTGGATAGGTAGATTTTCTCGATTCAATAATCGGGACGTGCGAAAACCGCTATTGCCCATTTTTCCAGTCTTAAGGTTTTTTGAGTTCATAATACTTTTCGGAGTTGGTTGCAACCACGAAAGTAGCGCTAAAACTCGTCTTTGGATTTCCTTAATCCCTGCATGTGACCCATTTCTATAATCAACACATCAATTGAATCGGGACGTGCAAAAACTGCTAAAGTCCACTTTTCCAGTCTTCAGTTTTTTTTAGTTCATAATACTTTTCGGAGTTGGTCGTATCCACGAGAGTAGCGTTAAAACACGTCTTCAAGTTTTCTCAATCCCAAAACGAGTCCTTTCATCACTTTTATGGTTATATCAATACTGGAAAAAAACACATTGGATCCAGAGTCCACACTCTTGAAAATATTGACAAGAAAAAGGACTCTTGATTCAAGCAGATTTAAGCTTAAATCAAAAAGAAATCCGCCCAAATTAAGGGGCTTGGTTCTTGATTAAATCTTAAATCTGATTGAAACAAGAGTATTTTTTCTTGTCGATGTTTTTTAAAAGTCTGGACTCTAGATCCAATGTGTTTTTTTTCCAGTGAACTATTTAAAAGTATTATGAACTCAAAAAAACTTAAGACTGGAAAAATGGACATTAGCGGTTTTCGCACGTCCCGATTCAACTTAGCCCAGAATGCATTGCGCCGAGGCTGAGGATCCACCTCAACGGGAGGCTCCTGCGGATGCTCTGGGAAATTGCTCCTCGTGCGGATTTTTATCAAAAGAACCGCTCGGTTCCCACAGCCGCGACCGCCGCACCGTGGATCGAGTCATTAGGATAGATCGGACGAAATTTGGAAACATCAAAAGCTTACAACTCCGTTTATACACAATTTTAAGGTTCTAAAAGTGGTTTCCTTGGTTTCCTCGTGAAATTTTCTCATATTAGCACCTCTCGACCTTTAAAATTTTACGAAATTAACATCAAATTTCGCAGTTTTTTTCAAAAATTTAATGTCCGACCTCTCTGATTGACTCGATCCAGTGTGCGCCGCGCCATCTCATTCAGATTCCTCGACTTATTTTCGCAAAAGCGCAAAACGTGGCAATTGGGCCAAGGCCGCTTCCCAAGTTGGGGCACCGCTGTCCCACGAAGACGACGAGCTAACGACATCCTCAGCCCGCACTCGGAGTCGGAACCGCGGATATCGAAATTTTCCCAATTGGGTCTATCTCACAGAATCGATTATCAAGATCGATTATTAATCGATCATTTTCATGGGTTTTTACGGCCGAGTCGTCGATTAATCGCAACGGGGGCCGGGATCCAGCAACCGGTTTGTCAAACGGCAGGCGGGACGCGACGCGAATTATTTNGGGGGGGGGGGGGGGGGGGGGGGGGGGGGGGGGGGGGGGGGGCTTAGATTGGTGGATTTCGATAGCCGCGACTCGGGGAGGTCCTCGGAAATTGCAGAAGTATCCGAGCGTTGGAAATCTTAATTACGGGCTCTCCGAGGTGGACACCGGATTCGGACCGGGAAGAATTCACGACGCTCCGACGGCGTTGCCAACAGAACCCGCTCGGGAAATCATCCTCGAGGTCGGAGTCGATATATTTCAGGGACCCTCAACTAAGGTAATAGGTCAAAATGTCCAAAAGTCAAAATGTCCAAACCCTGAATGCCCAAAAATTTAAAAAGGCCAAATTTTGTTGTTATGGACACGAATAATTTTTTTTTTTTTTTTTTTTTTTTTTTTTTTTGGGCTTTTCATGACAAACGGGCTAATATTAGCCATGTTTGAAATGTTGTCTACTCGCTAATGGTAGGTAATCGAAAAACCTGCTTAGGCAACGAAGAATAAGAGGATAATAGAATATAATAAATTAAGATGATGATAATTTTTATTTCAACTGAGATGGACTTTTGGCGGAGGTCTACTGGCATCTTAAGAAGAGAGCGTATCCGCAATGTAAAAGTACGCGAGATAATGGGTGTGAAGAATGACATCGTGCACGATATCAGGTCCAAGCAGTTGGTCTGGTATGGACATGTGCGAAGGATGGCAGACGATCGGTTGCCCAAGCAGGTTTTCGATTGGGTTCCTCCCGGAAGGCGACGGCGTGGACGTCCTGTGAAAGGTCGGCGACAAGAGGTGGAGGAGGAGATCAGAAGGTGCCAATTGCCTGATGATATTTGGGAGGATAGTATGTATGTATGTATAATTTTTATTATCTTTGCAGGAATCAGAGAAGACATTGACTCGGGCAAATCTACTCATCAGAAAACGTTGGTAAGTTTTTAAAGTTATTCAATAATGAAGTTTTTGTTAATATCCAAACATAAGTAGAAGTCCTCAACATGTCCAGAGGGTCGGTGGGCTGTTGAGTAAGCTGTCAACGGGACATCCGAACGGAAGTAAACAACCCGCGTATCTTCGCCATATGGTAATTCCGTTTGGAAATAGACGCGGCGATGTTGCCTTGAATGACCCTGCATTCCCTGCAACGCATCGTGACCTCGGCATGAAACCGATGATGAGGATTAGTGCTACGGTTAAATGACTTTTTATGATGGGAGCCTGGCTTGCGGCCGTTATTAGAACTGAACCATCATACGAGCTTCATTCCTTTCTTCGACGAAGGGGTTCACTCCCCTGTTTGAGGGTCTGGTGACTTTGAGGAAATCCAAAGGCTGCATGTTTTCCGAATGATCTAAAGTCAGCGCAATAAAAACAAATCATAGTTTGACCAAAGTCTGGTGAAAATTTGAACTCTTTTGTAACTTCAGGCACAGGGAAAAAATAGGATATTCCTCACAACCAGCCGCTGGTTGAGACGACTATTCCATTTTTTCTGTCTATTTCAAGGCGATTATGTCTTCCAGAATTATACATAAAAAGTGCCATGATCAAAAAGGATAGTAATTCTTAGCTACGTGAAATCACACAAAAAATCTATCACTGGACAAAAGCTTGCTAGGATCCAGAGGACAGACTCTTAACAAACTTGAGAAGAAAGCTTTATGCATGATTCAATCGGATTTTCGCTTGAATTAAAGGAAAATCCGATTGAATCAACAGCGCTTTTTCTTGTCAAATTTTTTAAGAGTCTGAACTCTGGATCCACGGGCTTTTCCCCCAGCGATTAACCTAATACTGTTGCATCAAAAACCACTTACAAATGACTAATTTCTGATGCGGTGGCACTCAAAGGAGTAGAGGACTTCAGGACTCGTCTTTGTTGTGATTTCACTCTGCTAAGAAGTACTGCCATCTTAATATCTTGATCTTAATGTCTTACCCCCATTTTTTGCGCACTTGCAGCTCTCTCTTCTGTTTCGTTTTCATGAAAACGAGATGAATTTTCACGGAAAAAATAGGGTTACATCAATAACCATGGATGTTGATGTAACTACCGGGTTAGTTGTGACCTCCACCGCGGTAGTTACTACCGCACGGTAGCTGGCGCATTTTTAACCAGCCGCTGGTTGTGTCGACTACCCTATTTTTTCCGTGTTGCTTTTTTAGTTATTTCAGTGATTTCATCTAAAAGAGATTCGACAAATATTGAAGAAAACCCGATTTCGAAAATTTGACACTTACTGCTCTCTTCGCTAAACGTCAGCAGAACGTCAAAATTCCGTCAAAACCATGACGAGCCCAATGTGGCAGCAAAAGCGGGGGACAGGCTGACGGGAGGCGCTTACCGGCACGGGTCCTGTTGGGGCNGGGGGGGGGGGGGGGCTCCGTCGAATCCGTGTATCGGACGAGTTAATTGAACGTCGCGCCGCGTTGCCAGCCCGCCGCCAGGTGGCGCTGGCGCATCCGCGACTCGGTGGGTTCCCGCGGCCAGGCGGCGACGCCGGGGCCGGCAGCGCTAAAGCCGGAGACACGACGCGCTGTAGGAGGTAGTCGAGATTTCATCTGTGAATAATCAGAGTCAGTGAGCCGGTCGTCGTTGTTGTTGTTGATTGTTGGGCACCGGGCAGAGCTCCCGTCCCAGGGAAAAACCCCGTATGAACCTTCGAATATTGCCAAATTTCCTCCGGTAGATCATGTATTTTCGCAGGCAATATTTCCTTTAGAAATTCTCGGATAACTAAGATTAGCGATCAGAAGTCTACGGATTTACCCAAGAACAGCTTGAGAGGCTTGGCGGACAAGGCGCATAAGTGCAGATTTTGCTGTTTTGAGAAATACATGTTTAAAGTTTTGAAATTACATGGATCCTTATGGCGGAAAGAAAGTTCAAGCTGACTTTTTGTTGCTTAAAAATTGGAACTTAGGAAATAATTTTCCACAGAACCATAAATAACTTTATTTTTTAAAAAAGTGCATTTATGCGCCTTTCCTCCATCACAAATGTTAGAAACCCCGCATTGCTCTCTTCCATGAGGTGTATAACTTGCTTTCAGAAGTAAACGCTTAGATTTGCCCGATGACCAAATAGTTGAGCAATTGGTTCAGCAATCCTGACTTAATTGGCAAAAACTCACCTAGCAAAATACATGTTCTGCTGTAGACCAATGATTATTTGATTATTTGCTCAACAGGTTGCTCATCAATCATCCGCAATAATCGACAAATAGCGTTGACCTCCGACTTTAACTTTTGCCTCACTCGACAGCATTGCATGGATTGTTTGTGCCGGGTCTCTAAAGTTTATTTTCTTTGGACGAGGCCCGCAAGTTTTGAGAGATTTCTCGACAGCTCTAGGAATTTATTCGTTTTTTCTTTTAAAAAAAGTTGGGATTTTTCAACAAAAATGGCTCTCAGCGCGCATCATCATCAGTTCACTGATAAAATAGTACGGTAAATTTTACCAGAAATACGTTAAATTCTATTATCTTAAGTCTACTTGATTTTTGACAGAGTTATACTGTGGGTAAAGCTAACTGAAGATCCGGTAGCATTTTCCATACTTTTGTTGAATGCGATTAGAGTTGCGATATTTGCTGCCCTAGCGTACCTACAGTATCTACATAGACTTGGAGTACACCGAATTGCAGTACGATATTTTTAACAGTATATCGAGAGAAATTCGGCAACTTTAAGTGGCGCATACGGTGTTGTCCCCGGGACGGCTGAGAGGGCGCTTAAGTGAAACGTTAACGACTCGGGCGACGGGCGACGTGGACGCGACGTGGACGGAGGCCCCGGTCGTGTCTCGCGGCTCACGACCAGCCCCCCCCCCCCCCCAAGGGGGCCCCTCCCACGCCCCCCGCCGCGATTTGTATCGAAATCCGATGAGTTTTCCGCTGCTCATCGATTCCATGCTCGCTCACCCGCGCGCTTGCCGCTAATGGCAATAACCCAAGTAGCATTGACTGTTAAAATTGGATTTTTAAAAAAAAAACGTGAGAAAAATTTGCAAATGGGCGAGTCAACCGTTTTTTATCATTACACGGAAAATTCATCCAAAATTTACTTTTAAAAAAAGTACTGAAAAATGGGCATAATGGGCCTGTTGCAAACTTTTGCTAGAGCAAAAATAAGAGTTGATTCTTGTAGATAATACCTCAAAAATCACGATGAGCGCATCGGCAAAGTCTGAAATGCACTCATAACTTCACAATCTGCGTAAGAAATTTGCGTTTTTTTAAGCTTCCCGCTTCAAAAACGATACTACGGCATAGGTGAACATTTTGTTAGAGGAGTCGCTCAATCGTCGGCGATATTCATCATGGCCGACGCTTGCACGCAGTTCCGCGGGTAATTCAAGGAGAGTTCAAGGTCAATCAATTCGGGCGTGGAAAATATGAACGTTAACACACCGATTCTTATCTGGTCTAATCCAGTTCAGGTGTTATCTCGTCCCATCAAACGTGTTTTGGCGGATTGGCGTCGGCTATGATGATTATTGCCGACGATGGAACGACTCCTCTTACAAAATGTTCACCTGTGCCGTAGTATCGTTTTTGAAGCGGGAAGCTCAAAAAACCGCAAATTTCTTACGCAGATTGTGAAGTTATGAGTGCATTTCAGAGTTTGCCGATGCGCTCATCGTGATTTTTGAGGCATTATCTATAAGAAACAACTCTTAGTTTTGCTCTAGCAAAAGTTTGCAACAGGCCCATAATTTAGCTGAATTGCAACAATCACTAAAATACTTTGGCAAAATTAAAGTAAACTGCAGAGCGTTTGACGTTAAAAACTGAAATTTGTGAAATTAATGATGAAATTTGTCAAATGTTTGATGAAATTTGTCAAATTTATGATGAAATTTGTCAAAATTATGATGAAATTTGTCAAATTTATGATGAAATTTGTAAAATTTATTATGACATTTGTAAAACCATGATGAAATGTGTATTTATGATGAAATTTATAAAATGTATGATGAAATTTGTAAAATGTGTGGTAAAATTTAATAAGAAAAATCGATTAAAAAAATGTGCAAGGTCAAGTGCAACACGAGGTGCAATGACAGCTTTCCCGATTCTTGTTTTTTCCTTAGTGATTTGGAATTCTCTTCCAGACTATCGTAATTTTCGATGTACTACAAGGATGTCCTCTGGTTGCCGCAACGAAAAATAAAGTCACACCGAGTGCAATAAACCGTCAATGCGCGAATCCTCTTGATCCAAGATGATTATCCTAATCCATCCCCTAGAGAACACCTAATAGAAATTTAGGTCATCTCGGGTTGAAAAGCTACAAACATACGCGAATGAAAAATGCTCACATACTCAGTAACATGTGAAGACGCGTTGATTGACACATGCCTCGAGGTGTTTGAAAAGCGCACGGCTGCAAACTTCCATGTATCGAAAACATGAATTTTTTAATCGAAATTTTTTCTAGCAAATTTTTTCGAGACACAGGCAAGATACTAGCAGTTCTTAGTGTAACTTTGAATTGTTCGAAACATCTTTGGCTGCCAACTTCATGTGCGTCAGTCTGTCAGTTTTACCGAATTTTAGTTATCGTTGATTATTTTTGTTCCCTGTTGTTCTCTTCATTCTCAAATCCACTCTTTTCTAGAACCTTTGAAATCATCGAGAATGTAATCTTTGCTACACATAAAGGAGCGAGTCAATGGGAGAATTCGGACGAAATTTGGAAACCTTGGAAGTTAATACTTTTGAAAATATAGAAGGGAGAGGTTTTAGAGTGGCTCAATTGGTTTTTTTCGTAAAATTTCCTCCCGGTAAAATCCCTTGGAATTGAAATTGATAATGAAATGAAATAAACTTGAAAATTTGCAATTTTAGTCAAAAGTCCATTACAGACCTCTTCGACCAGCTTGCTTCACTGTGCAACAGTTTGTGGCCGTAGGAAGCCTATAATAT